GGTGGTGGTTATGTGCCGTGGAGTTGGTTCCGACTCATAGCGACCCTGTACATGGTTTCTGAGGCTATAAATCCTTACGGGAGCAGAAGCCTCACCTTTCTCCCATGGAACATCTGTTACTTTCGAACTGCTGACCCTGTGGTTCACAGCCCAATTCGTAACCACTATGCTATCAGAGCTAGTAGCTGAGTGTTTATCCAAAGACTCCTTATAACCAAACCAAAAAAAAAAAAAACAAACCAGAACGACTGCCATCAAGTTGATTCCGACTCTAGGGTTTCTAAGACCGTAAGTCTTTATGGAGCGAGTAGCTCATCTTTCTCCTGTGGAGCAGCTTGGTGGGTTTGAACTGCTGACCTTTCAGTTAGCAGGCCAACACCTAACCCACAGCACCACCAAGGCTCTTTAAAGACTCCTTTCTGTTGTGTTGTTGTTGTTGTGTACTGTTGAGTCGATTCACACTCATAGTGAACCTGTATAGGGTTCCCAAGAGTAGATGGTGAGCATGAACTGACAACCTTGTGGTTACCAGTCCGGTGTTCCTTGTTGTTGTCAAGCCGGTCCCAACTCACAGTGACCCTGTATAGGATTTCCACGGATGTATATCTTTACAGAAGTACAAAGTCTCATCTTTCTTCCATGGAGCTGACCAATCCTGTGGTTCGCAGACCAATACTGTCCTTGACACTGAAGTCAGAAAAGAAAGTCCCAACAATTTAAGTTAAGTCTCTTAGCCCCAAGCACCTTCAGGGACAGAGCAGGTAATAGGCACATATGAGAACTCAAGGCAGTGACATTCAGATTTGTTTTTTTAAAAACTACCACCCTGACAGCCCTCTGCAAGGCCAGAATGCATATAGCTGGTATGAGAAAACCAGTTCTTTAATGAAACTGGACCCCACACAAACAGTCTTCCCTCACAGAAAGATGTGACTACAAGAGCTACAGAGAGGAGACATGCACGTTTGATGGTTTGGGACTAAAAAGAATTCACCAGAAAAGGTTTAGGCTAAAACCCGATAAAGTAAAGGTAAGTGGGGAAAATGTTAGGCAAAGAAGCTCATAGGTAATTCCCAGTGGGAAAAATGTTCAGACTCTGGACCCAGGGAGGATGTTGTCATCCTGGCCTTTACTGGAGCAAAGAAAGTCACATCCAAGGTACTAGGCTCATAAAGTCATGAGACTGGAGAAGACCAAGGGGTTTTTATTCCGAGCTGTTTATCCATCTGCAATTTAATAGGGAACATGGTAAAATGACACACTATCCTTCTTTTTAATACCAACCACTAAGTCACTCCACCTTCTTAGACCTTAGTTACCTCAGTTGTTATATGAGGGAGGTGAACCAGATGAGCTCTAAGTTTCTGTCCAGCTCTTAAAAAAAAAAACCCCGCTCAGGTCTGTGAAAAAATGCTTCTATGCCTCTATGTTCAGGAATCCACTCCTTTCGAATCTGCCACTTTATCTCCATATATTCTGAGTGAACGATTACAAAAAGACGCAGTCATTCATTTGAGGCACAGATAACTCACAGTATTTCCAGTGCTCTCTGTGACAACCCTATTTTGTCATCAACATTAAGAGTCCTGGTGTGGCACTGTAGGATAAGCACTAGACTGGTAACTGCAAGGTTGGAGGTTCAAACCCACTAGCTGTTCTTGGAAACCATATACAGTGCTGCTATGAGTAGAAACCGAGTCAAAGGCACACAGTAATAATTAAAATTAGGTACAAAATAAATAACTAAACCTTTAAGTTATTCCTCATAGCAAAGAGGAGAGATTGCATGAAACCCTGCTCATTTCTTCCCACATGCTAGACCACTCTCAGGGAAAAGAAGACCAGATTAAGAATAGCTTCCACGGGAAAAGGCCCTGGCTAGATACCTATTTGGACCATTGTGGTCGGTATGGTCTAGAGGGAAACAGAGTGGGACAGGAAATCTGGATTCTAGACCTAACCCTTCTAGTAACCATAGAAGATATTTATTTAGGTTTTTTTCTTTTTCTGTTTTCTATTTATAAAACAGCAATGATTCTGCATGTCTCTTTCTGCCTTGAAAATGTGCTATGCACAGGAGGAGATACTGTCTATGAAGCATTTGTGTCCTAGAGAGGAACACATGCAATAATTGAGCTTGTTCATGACAAAGAATACTAATGTAACAATTAAAAACAACACTATCATGATTGTTGTTATTGCTATGTGCCATTGAGTCGGTTCGGACTCACAGTGACCCTGTAAAGGTTTTCCAAGGAGCAGCTGATGGGTTTGAACTGCCGACCTTGTGATTCTCAGTCCAGTGCTGATCCTACAGCGCCACACCAGGAGTCCATGGGTAGGTCATGGCAGGTGGGAAAGGCACCTGGTCAGAGTCCCAGAGTCTTTGGTAAATAAAAGCAAGGGGTTATGATCGACAACAAAACTCAAACACACACAACTTCAGTCTCCCCCGTGTAATGAACTCAGCTCGCACGGAAAAGAGGGGCACTACCATGGCTTACAGACCCCTGGCTTGTGAACTACTTTTCTTTCCTTGCTTCCATCCTTTCTTTACTCTTTCCTTTCAAATATTTGGAAATTTGCATTAAGGGCTAAAATGCTCCATATACTAGAAATGAGCACAGTCTTCCAGTCCTTAAAAATCTAGCTGTCTAAATAAATAACTAACATGCCCAATCAATAATTGTGATTAAGGGGCTATCTCGTCCCTTGACATGTCCATGTCTTTGTTCACAACATTGTCACTGGACTCACAGTGGCTGTTTCCAAAGAAGCCAAGACCAAGACCTGAAAGACCCAAACTCAGGACTGTTGAAGTCTGAATTGACAGCTGCACCAGCCATCCCGTGAACCAAGACCAATTGTTGTTAAATTTCTTCTTTGATTAATTTGCTCTCCTTCCTCAAGCATCCCTTGTCTTTCCCATTCGCAGGCAGGAAAGGAAATCCATAAATTTCGTAAATATCTGTCACCTTCTCCCTTCTTAATCCTAAATACCTATTTCTTGGAAAATAATCTTGTAACAGTGGACAGAGAGGTGTGAGTGGAAACCACAAGACCAGTTACGAGAGTCTTACAAGGGCAAGATGTTGCTGTTGTTGTGATGTGCCGTGGAGTCGGTTCCGACTCATAGCGACCCTGTACAGGGTTTCCGAGGCTGTAAATCTTTATAGGAGCAGAAACCCTGATCTTTCTCCCACGGAACAGCTGGTAGTTTTGAACTGCTGACCGTGAGGTTCACAGCCGGATTCATAACCACTATGCTACCAGAGCTCCTTTACAAGGGCAAGATGAAGCGGGTCTAAACAAAGTCAAACCATGTCAGGACTCTTTCTAGTGTGAAATGTTAAATTAGAAAGATTACCTTGGGATAAAAATTGGGTTGTAAGTCCTGGTGTGGTGCAGTGGATTAATATACCGGACTGCAAAGTCATTTGAACTGCAAGGTCCGCAGTTCAAGCTCACCAGCCGCTCCTCAGAAACTCTATGCAGGGTCGCTATGGGTCCAAACTGACTAGACAGCACTTAACAAAAACATGTATGTGCAATTATAGTTAAGAAAATAATTTCCATCATATAGAATATAGAATTCCATGACACACAAACCAAGTACTTTCTCACACCCAAATCTGGAGACTGGATCATCCATTTTATTATACACAGATCCATAAAACAGCAAAAAATTTTTAATTCAAGTTATAATAATTTTTTTAAATTATATTTGTGAAGCATTGGGCTAGGTGCTTTGTAAACATAGCCCCAGTGACAATATGGACATTATTAAACCCACTTTCTTATGGAAGAAACCAGGTCTCTAGAAAGCTTTAGAGTATCACATCCTAACTCCTGGGTGCCTCAGCCCTGAGCCTACTCGTATCTCCTGGCCCCCAATCTTTTCCTTTATCTCTTTCCTTTTGTTTCTTATTCTGATGACCACAGTCTAAGGAAACAGGGGATGTCAGGAGACTCATCTGGTCAACATTTGCTGCTTTAAGTGTGAAATTCAGCATTATACAAGTAATTAAGGGATCAAGGCAGGGCCAAAGCTTGGTCTCTCTGATTCGGGCGCTTGTGCTTATTTCATGATGCTATGCTGTCTCTGTGTTTCTCTTGATAAGACTTCACTTGCATTCCTTTTTTTACTTCTAGGAATGCTGAGCAAAGGTGGGGGAAAAGCAGCGACAGCCTGGGCAACGGCATGTGGGGTGCACAAAAGCCATGTTAAGAAAGAAGAAGAGAAAACCACACCACTTCCCATACTAGGGTCCTTGCTTTCGGAGGAAATAGCTGCAACAGCTGGGTCATTTAATACAACCATTTCCTTTGTGCTCCTTGCTGCTGCCGTACGGAGAGAGGCTGGGGAGAGGGTAGTGGTGCTTGTGGCGGCCATCTCCAAGGAACTTGAGTATCGAATGACTGCTCAGCCCTGCTAACAGTGTGCTGAGTCCACTTACAAGCCCATGGTCATCAAGGACAGCCTCCAGGGACAAGATGGACCTCTCCCCACCATGGTCCCTAGATGCCTCAGACCTGAGCCTACTCACATCTCCTAGTTGCCAGTCTTTTCCTTGTCCCTTATTCTGATGACCAATGACCAAGCAAACAGGAGCTTCTCCTGGATGACATTTGCTGCTTATAGTATGAAATACAGTATCGTGAGATCACATTTGGTACAATTTTTCCTTAAAAATGGTTTTGTTCTATAATTCATTTTTTATTGCCTTGAAGCAAAACAAAATGGATCATATATTTAAAAGCAGATGGAAGGGAAAAAAAACAAAAAAAACCAAGAAACCACGACACACCATCTGAGAAATGTCTAGTAAGCATATATCCCAGAAATATTTATGGAAGTGGTTACCTGGGGAAAAGTGAAAGCAATTTTCTTGGCTATCATCACGTTAATAGGAAATTGAAACTCCAAATGCAACCCTGGGTGCATTCCTTTAATTTGGCAAAGTACAACCATGTTTGGGAAGCAGAAACAAAACACCTACCTGGCATGACCATGGTGTGTGGGGCCGCGGCATCGGTACTTAAGCATAGGCGTCCACCTTTGGCTAGTCTATCACAGAGCAAGGTGATATGTTTCTTCAGTCGGCTTGTGTCTTTGGGTATGTTCAGTTGGCTGCTGAGGTTCAAAGCCTGCTCCTTAGAACTCTTTGATAGGCAAGTCTTCAATAGGTAGGAAATAGCAGCATCCACTGTTTCTTCCCAGCCCTGGATATGAAAGTCAATTTTGAATTTAGGTAAAGATTGAAAATGGAAAGAGTTAACTAAGTTAAACAGATTCTGAGTGTTTATGCTCAAATGTTGGAAAGTTGTGGAGAGGTTGGTGTCTGGAATATTCTAGAGCAGCCTGGTTTTGGTTTCTAGTATTGTCAGCTATTTGACCTCGAGCAAATTAATTTCCCTAAGCCTCATCTTCATCTACAAACGAGAATGCTAATAGTCTGTAACTCCAGAGAGTCAGGTGATTAAATAAGATTATATATGAAAAGTATTTAATTCTGTGCCAGGGAGAGAGTAATTAGTAACATCATCTCAGGTATGGGGCTATCTGATGATCTGGTAGATGAAGTTGCCAGGGCAGAAGAGGCCTTTGGATACCTTTGGGGGAAATTGGAATGGAGAGAAAGCCTCAGTTACTGGTCCCATAGTCTGACCCCTTCGGGCTGCAGCTGGAGGCTGAGGGAACTTATTTCAAGAGTGACTTTGGGAGATATTTAGGGCCTAACAAGTCCAGCTTCACTAACCAGGTGACAAAAAGGGATACAAAATGAGGAAGTAAGACATTTTGCACCATTTTTGTCAGGGACAGTGTGGATGTGCTATGTGAAGACACTGTCGGTTTAGGGTCATCAAGTCCTCATATCTGGGAACCTCAGCATTTTCATGATGGGCACCAGCACCAGCAGAACTGGCAGGGGAGGCACCACCTTCAGGTGGGTTCAGACACCATGAGTATCACACCAGCAGGGAGGAGTGAGAGAGCAAGAACTTACGAGTTCTCATTCAGCCTTCCCATGTGGTTGTAGAGATAACTGGGTAAGAGTTTCATGGGTGTCTGAAGTCCCTATACACATAGCATCAATTGTCACTGTGACTCCATTTGAAGCCATAGATTGGTAAGAATAGGAACACCAAGCTCATGACAGTCAAAGTGAAATCATAAAGGAAGGCACGAAATGATGTCATTCCCAAAGAACATTACAGACTAGCCCAGTCCAACTCAGGGACAGCCACCCTTGGGAATCCCATCTGTGGACTCTCTTCACAGCTCTCAGACTTGGTACAACCAGCTCCGCACTCTGCTCTAGTCTCTGCCTGCATGTCTGGCCCTCCCCTCCCCCTGCATCAGAGTGCACTGAGATCAGCACATTCCAACACTGTGCATGGTAAACAGAAGGTGATCAAGAGAAGTGCTTGCTGGACAAAAAGACGGTGAGTTACAGAACAGGATCTTAAGAGTTGAGAAGATTTTGGAGATCTTTAATCTTATGGGACTTTCCCAGGAGGCTTAATACACAATAGCAACCATCTGCCTATGCATGGCTGTCCTCAGGCTCCAAAATTACTGCTTTTTGAGGCCATCCACTCCTTTTAAGGACATGTGGAACCAGCAAAAAGCTATTTCTATACTGAGCCAACATTTGCCCCATTGACCCTCACTCTACCCTCCAGAGCCATGCAGAATAAATCTAACCTCTCTTCTCCATGACAGCACTTTATATCTGTGAAGACAGAAATTCTGTACCCTCTTCTCCAGAATAAACATCCCCAGTTCCTCCAGCTCTTCCTTATATAAACATGGTTTCAAGTTTTCTCTCCATCCAGACCGCTCTTCTTTGAATGAGCTCCAATTTTAAACACTTAAAATTTTATACAGCTAAGTAGAGAACCCCAACCTGAACCCAATGTATCAGGCTGAGGCCGACAGTGTAGGGATGAACACATCCTGTCTCTCATTTTCTGGGAATTCGGTCTGCCAGTTGGACCTCCAGGTGCCTCCACTCCCCTGGCAGCTACTCCATATTATGGACTCACAGTGAGCTTAAATAAGACCCAGAGTCTTCTCCATCCTCACCACACTTCTCCCTTCTGATGGTGGTGGCAGCATGCTGTGGAGTGGACTCTGGTTCATAATCACTTTCAAGGCTGTGAATCTTTACAAGAGCAGACAGTTTAACTCATAACCCATTAGGAGCTCCCAGAGCTCCTTTTCCGTACATCAAGCTTATGCAATTGATACTTCAGGCCAAAGTGTAGGCTCACTGTGTCTGCTCCAGAGAACTTCCCACTGGCTACCAACATCACTTCATCATGAAGTTTTTCCTCAACTGACCCATTAGAGGTGCCACCAGGTAAATCAGGAAACAAATTTATTATTTTTAAATGATCTTGAAAATCCTTTCGAGAGACATCGAAGATTGTGAAAGCAGCTTCCTTCCTCAAACTGCTAAAGCATAACAAACCACTGGTGACAACAAAGATACCGCTAAAACATGGAAACTAGAGAAAGATGTAAAATGGACTTTGTGTTTCCAAAATGATAGGAAGAATTTAAGATAAGACAGTAATCCAGATGTCACTGAAGAGGAAATATTTCCAACCAGTTTTTGGATCTGTGGATGAAAACCCCTGGAGTATAAAAAGAGAACACCCTTTGTATATAATTTGGCATTTGTGTGGTCTGGGCTCATCTCAGCATTAAAATAGTTCCTACTATTTTATATTCTATTTATCTAAGCAAACTAGTGTATTCTTAAAGTAAGTTACAGTAGCATATTAGATCACTGAAGCTGATATGGCAGAATTTCCTTTGTGACTGCCAACTTGCAGATAAGTAAAAAACCATGTCATGCTTTGGTATTTGGCATGGATATTCCTGAAATATGATGAGGCTTGATGCCAAAATGTTAGAAAATTCTTACTGAAATAGAGTTTGTTTTTTTCATGTTTGGATTGCTACATATATGTGAATAGGATGATGAAAAGGAATGTTTATGACAGAAAAGGAAATCAAAGTTAAGCAAAAATGCAATACTGATCACTCAGTGATCAAACATAACCAAGCAGTGGTCACATGAAACACACTTGGTTACACATAGAACAAAACTCTTTGGAAAACTGGGATTTCAAGTGTGAGCAGCACCTTACAAGTCAGTGATTTCAACAACTCTTTAGGTGACTAAGTCCATCATCTTTATTTATAGCCCTTAAATTAAAGTAAACCAAATGTGCAATTTCAATGTCTCCATACACACATGATTTACACACGCTCACACCCCCCCCCACATACACATAATCTTTATCCTCTCAAATGAAATATCAATTGTACTAACAATTTTATCTCCTTATTGTGAGACTAGAATAAAATACAAATTGGGAGAAATGTACCAGCTGGTATTTAAAATCCTTGGTGGTATCATTTCCAGAATCACAACAGCCTACAAACCCCCACAATAGGACAAACTGATGGACAAGTGGTGGTGTGGGAAAACTGTGCTTAAAGAAATGTCTGGAACAGGAAAAGCTTTCAAACACAGGTTCTTCAGTGAGAAATGACTCTATTCCTGACAGGCACAACCTCAGAAATCCCTGTTACTACATCTATGATTTTTATAACACCACATCACGTGTGAAGATAACTACATAGGGAATACAAATGTAACTATTCAATTTTACCTTCTGTGTGGTGTTTGTCAATTTGAAAAATCATCTTAATTTGGGGGATTTTTTAATAGGCTTGTTGTTTTGCTTTGTTTTCATTGTTTCTTTTGAATAATAACTGGGCTTTTCCTTTTCCTAAGATCTAGACTCTACCCCATTACAACTTCCTTTTTGTCTTAGTTCATTATTTTTTTCTGACATCCTTTATTTTTTTTCACTTTTTTTTTTTTTTGGTGCAGGGAAGTGGTAGGTAAGAGGAAGGATTGAGATTAGAGTTAGGACTATGACTAAGTCTAGGCAAGGCCTGGAGTTCTGGTGTGGCACTGTAGGATAAAGCACTGGACCACAAGGTCTGTTTATATCACAAGATCGGCAGTTCAAACCCACCAGCCACTCCTTGGAAAGCCTATACAAGGTCGGTATGGGTCAGAACGGACTCGATGGCACTTAACAAACCAACAGTCAAGGCCTAAGACTGTTTAGTGTTAGTGTTAGGGTAAGGGGTGGGCTAGGGGTAGGTGTAAGGCTTGGTCTAGTTTTTAGGGTTATAGTCAGGCTAAGTTTAATATTTTCCTTAAAATCTCTTTTATTTGGAAGTTCTGTAAGTACATTATTCCCTCTTTTTTATTTGTTTGTTGTTGTTGTTGTAACTGTATTTCTGGTTCTCTACTTTCAGTTCTGTAGGCCTATCTTGGAATATGCTCATATCTGGGTTCTGTCTAGGTGATTTGTCAGGGATGTGTCTCAGGTTGTTTGCTGTTGGTCTCTGTCCAAAGAATGTCCTTTCATATTTTTTGCTAGGTTGAGCTGGTTTTTACAAAGTCTTTAAATTTCTGTTTGTCTGACAATGATCAAAATTTGACGGACAGTTTTTCTGAATATATGATTGATTCTTGGTTGAGAATCTGTTTCTTTCAGACTTTTATGTGACATTCTATTGTCTTCTTACCTGCATGGTTTCTGCTGAGAAATCAAAGCTTTGTCTTATTAATTTTCTTTTGTCGGTAACTTTTCATTTTCGTGAGCTGCTCTCAGGATTCTTTCCTTATCTTTAGTTTTAGAAAGTTTGATTTTATATTGCTGTTCTTCTTTCGGTGTCTATCCTGTATAGGGTTCGTTCAACTTCTTAAATGGCTATCTTCTCATCTTTCATGATGTTAGGGAAGTTTTCTTCCAACAACTCTTGGGCAATATTCTCTACAGGTTTTGTTGTTTTTTTTCTTCCTTTCTTCCTGTTCTGGAATTCCAGTCACATGTAGTTTATTCCTCTTGATTGATAACGTCCCACATAAATCTTAGGCTTTCTTAGGCATTTTGTTTTTATTGTTGTTCATTTTTCTGATTGTTCCTCTAGCAGATGAATATTGAGAGGTTTTTCTTTAAGCTCAGTAATTCAGCCTTCAATTGCTTCAAATCTATGTCTTTGCCCTTTCCATGTAATATCTATTTCTGAAGTCTTATTGTTAATCTTCTGGCTTTCTAATTGCTGTTTTTGTCCGTTTGTTTCCTGTCTTCTAAAGTCTTGTCCGTGCTTTCCTTGAGTTCAC